TCAACTTTAACGAGGATGATGAGTACATCATGGCTGAACTGAAACACACGACCGAGCAACCAAGCTCAACAAAAGCCGAGAAAACAGAGTTCTGCCAGGCAACCTACATCGTGGGCTGCGACGGCGCCCACTCCGCCGTCCGTCGCATATGTAACATCGCCTTCGAAGGCGAAACGTATCCCCAGCTCTTCTACGTGACAGACATCGAGGGCAGCGGACCAACTATGAACGGTGAAGCACACGTCTCTCTCAACGGATCCGAATTCATGCTATCTCTCGCATACGACCAAGATCGAAAGGCCCGTCTCGCGGGCGCCGTAGACGAAACACACATTACCAAAGACGTCTCCGAACTAACCCTCGACGACATCCTACCAACCACGATCAAGAACATGGAGCTACAGATCGACAAAGTCAACTGGTTCACGACATACCGTGTGCACCATCGCCTCGCAGCCAGCTTCCGCAGGGGCCGCGCGTTCCTCGCAGGTGATGCAGCGCACATCCACAGTCCTGTCGGCGGACAGGGGATGAACACGGGCATCGGTGACGCGATCAATCTCGCCTGGAAGATCGCCACGGTGGTGCATGGTAAAGCCGACGCATCGCTGCTGGACAGCTACGATCCAGAACGCCGTGCGTTCGCGAGTATCCTCGTCAACACTACCGACCGGGCGTTCACCAACCTCGTTGCCAAGGGATACGTATCGAATTTCATCCGAAACTGGGTCCTCCCGACCATCATGCCAATCTTGACCCGGTTCGACAGGGTCCGACACCGTCTGTTTCGAGGCGTGTCGCAGATCATGCTGAACTATCGGGACAGCGCTTTGTCTGCGGGTACGGCAGGTTACGTACAAGGCGGGGATCGGATCCCGTGGGCGCCTGTGGGTGACGTTGACAACTTTGACAGTCTGAAGGAAATTACATGGCAAGTCCATGTCTATGGGGATTCAAAGCGGGAGATGGAGGATTGGTGTCGCGATAAGCATGTGCCCCTGCGTGTCTTCGCCTGGGACGGGAAGTACCAAGCAGTTGGATTCGGGAGAGACGCAGCGTACCTTCTTAGACCCGATACGTACGTGGCTGTTGCGGAACCGTCAGGTCTCCCAGAGCGATTTGAGCAGTACTTGGAGGAGAAGGGAATTCGTCTGGTCTGATTGACGGCTTTCGTCAGGGTTATGGGTTTTGTACTATATCTAGCAGCGCGGCGTTCGAGTTGACTTTGCATCTCCTCTTACAGAAATCGGTACCTCCTTCCATAGGAATCTACATGCCGTATCCCTTCACATTCCTTTTGGTTTTTGTCCAGTTCATCCTCAGACTCGGAGTATACGCACTCTGCTACGTCACTGCCTCTCTACCTTGGTAAGTCTTGGAACGTGCGAAAAACAGTGGGGAAAATACGAGGCGGGGTAGCTGCCTGAGTGTTCTCTATCTTCATGTTGCGAGGCCCTCTGTCTAGACAACACTGTCCTCTGATACTCTTCTGCCCTCAGTCTGGGTGGCCTTTGAACTGTATTAGACTCGGCTGCAACCATATCCAGAAATTCTGTGAGAGTCTGAGCAAAAGTGTCCGAGGAACTGTCAAATAGCAAAATGGTCCTTTCTATACGCCCCGCAAGAGAGGAAGACCTAGAGATGATTGGAAATATTGCAGCAGCAGCCTTCAATCCGACCACAGACGCGATATCCCGACGCTTGTTTCCACCTGACCTCCAACCGACGAACATGCCAGTTGGCGAAGCATGCAGGCAATGGCGAGCTGCTCGCAAGACTTCGAGCTTCCACTCTGACGGCACCGCTCTCATGGTGGCCGTAGACGATGCTCTGCACGGGCAGGTAGTTGGCTTTGCGCTGTGGGACGTTCCAGCCCCAGCTGGCGCTGGCGGTTGCGAACCGCGCCAACCCCCAAAACCAGAACCAGAACCAGAACCTGCTGCGCATGCGCCTGCGGGCCTAGACCAGTCCGCATTAGCTGAAATGCGTCGGATTCTTGCAGATGATGCCCGCGCGCATTTCGGCGACGAGATGAAAAGGAATGTGTGGCGTATGTGCACCTCACGCGGTTTTAGCTGCCAGGCGACAGACTAAACTAATACAAGCAGCGTAGATCTTGATTATATTGCTGTGGACCCGCGTCATTGGCGGAGGGGTATTGGCAAGATGCTCTTGCAATGGGGCGTACAGCGGGCTGCAGCGGAAAAGAGAGACTGTTATCTGGTTGCTACACCTGCTGGGCGTCCGCTATACCAGGCCGCTGGATTTATGGAATTGGCTACCCTACAGATCTTTGGTGTTCCTCACTTGTCAATGATCAAGAGGTATGTTTCTGTCTCAAGGTAGATGGGCAAAAGGATGGGATAAGGGTCTTTATACTGTGTCTCGCGGAAAGGAGGTGGACTGGGGATTATGATGCACTCAAGAAGTCATTAGCCTTCTGTATTTTTGTGAGCTGCGTAGGGCTACCTCTCTCAGTTTGCTAGTTTCATTCTTGACTGGAGGAGTCATTGTATGTAATGAATAGATGGGCTTCCCTGATCATCATCGAGCCCGCCGGTTGTGCTAGAAAGGTTTGGTCGCCGTGGTGCGCTGCCCTGAAGGGTGTAATTCGAACAAAAAGCTTTCATACTGTATGCATTGCTTACAATTAGATTGGGTACGTGAGATACCTGTTCCGGACGGCTCACCTTGAGGAATGAATGTGGTAAAGTTCATGAATTCCCCGAGCCCTGACTGTGCCTTACGCAATTCACCGTTGCTCATCTGGAACGGTGGGCCAAATCAGAGATTCATGACAGACCAAAAGCACTAGGCCACAGGGATGTTCCTAGATGGGGCATACGGCGCTGTAGTGTGGCTGTGGTCGACAACACGCAGGACTTGGCGCCGTGCCGTCAGCCTTACCTCTGAATTCAAAAATGGCGGAGGTCTCACTACCTACTGGTGAGACAGACACCTTTTAGCTGCTACCAGCCGGTCATCCTGACTCACCTGTTCCTATGGCGACTTTAAGTGACCTACCAGATCTACGGAATTTGTTTGCTCCATTGCTGACTCAGGCCATCAAACATACAACAGGTTGCAATAGCTGGACAACCGAGTCTGCTGCCCTGGCCGACGAGACCATTGTCTCCAGGTGATTTTCCTCTCCAACACCAGCGAGACTTTCGTTGTGTGAATTGTGTGCCTGAGATATGGGAAATCATCCATCATTTTGTGCAGTTACCCAGCTATCACTGAATATCCATTCATGCGGCCAGTCTACACTATACCTACCAGCATCAGCCTGCCCATTGAGCATGTTTTGCTTGAGGGATGTAGTCTTCGCTCTCAAGCTATATGCGTGGTGATCAGGAGCTGCAAACGTCTAGTGAGCGATGGCCAGAGAGGTAAACAGCAGCTGTAAAACTCCCACGACGGATAGGAGCTGGCGTGTAGAGTTGTGAGAAATGATAGACCTCTTTTGGGGTATTATTGTAGCTCACTCTTTGGCAAAAGATGCAATCGAGGATGGCTCGGGTGACAGTGTAGGGTATGCAGCAACTATCTGTAGAGTGTCCATGGGCCCCTCAAATATGTGGACACCGCGACATTAGCCACACCCATCAGCCGCCATGGTACATTTGTATCCCAAAAATTGCAGATTTTGGAGGCTACCGAAAAGTCCGCCCAGCACGTCGTTTTCGACCATTTCTGTAATCTCTTCTTGCCCGTTTGTTATATGCGACAACGACTGGGCCATCATGAATTAAACTCGAAGGTCATCTTTTTTCATTCATCCTGCAACCGCCAAAGCAGATCGCAGAAGCCCTGATCTCGGGTCTCACTGTATGTTCCTAGAGACATTTGCTTGCGCCTTGCGCGGCATCAAGGGGGTTCAGTCCGCTACAATCAGTTTCGTTTCTTGGAGCAGAGTTTAGGTATATTCTAGCACATGTTCAGGTCGACTTGATATGTAGGTGCGCAATACCTTCCAACAGGGAATGTAGCCACTAAAGCAGTGATATGCCCGCTTTCGGTGTCGCCAAAAGCCATCAGACCTTGAACGCGCCGTCTTCTCTGGTCGCGACAACTTGGAATCCAGGAATAGAAAGACCAATCATCGTCCGATGCTATACGAGTCTAATTCTTTCCCCGGCTCTAACTCAGGACGAGCGGGTGGGGGACCATCGCGCCATGTGAGGAATCACATTGTGGGTGTTTCATCCAAGCGAATCCAGTGAATTTCCCGTCCACCCCCTCCCTTATTTCGGCATTACCTGTGTCAGCCCAGAGGCAGCCAACATCATATCGAGTAATTGGAGGGACAATCATACCAACAATCTAATTACCACCAACGGGGCCCTCGACCGTCCTACATGGATTCTTGCCGCGTGGGACCCGGGGCTTCAAGCCTGTGAAACAGCTAATTCCAAATCATACATTGAATTCTTGTTGGTTGAGAAATGAGAAAACGAGCGCCCCAACTGGTAAGAAATGGCACAGGATCGCCCTCATCTTTTCTGTCTCCACCCACTTTTCCGCGTGTAGTACAGGATCCAAGTCACCGGGACTATGCACGCGATACTTCGGGCTGGCCCCCTGCGTCAAAGTGAAGAGCTTGAACTGGAGTTCTTCCCGTTCTTTTGGCTTGTATCCGTGCAGTGGCCTGTTCATGTTGCCGGACTAGTACATTCTAGATAACCTGCCATTAGCCCCGAACAATACCGAGTACATAACTATAAATATTTTGTTTTAGGCGTACCCAGTCAGCTCAGCTTGCGGGTCCTTTTTCTATGCCCTCAGCATTCGGGTATCTTCACCTCACCACCAGATGTATTCTCTTTATTCCATAGTTAGAGAATGAAAATTGATATCGTCTATCGATATAACTGGAGTTGAATGTATAGTCTGTGAAAAAAGGAAAGCATAAAGGGCTAGCTATTCTCGACCGTAAAAAGCCTAGGCATGGAAACGCTTGCAAAAAGAAAAGTTCGTAGCATTGCTCCTGCCGATCCCTACACATCCGGCTGCCTTTCCAATCCTGAAACCAAGTGGCGTTCCAGCATATGCGCATCGCGTTTGTCCTTCCTGCTGAAAAGTCTATAGCACCCCTCAGCTAGGCAGCAGTATGAGCGGGGAGCAATATGCATCGACTCGACATGACGTGACAGGTCCGCCTTTCGATTGAACGGTTTTTTGTAGGTACATCCCTCCCACTTGCACACGAGGTGGGCATTTCGAACTGGTAGCCTATGAATGAGAGCAAATCAGCGGGATTATTTTCCATACAGCCGGGAGAAACTTACAGGTTACCGGCAGTCTGTCTGGCTTCGTCTTGGCGTATAGGTTGGAGAGGGAAGACTGGATTTTCGAAGGGTGGAATGGAGTCTCCCTGCGCGCCGTGCTCAATGATATAGCCTTGTGACTGGCGAAGGCGACTCTCCACAGAATGAGTATTATCCCGTAGTTGGTTCAGGAATGACTCTGGATTAACAGGAAGGAGAGCTGGTGTATAGGCTGGAAGAGACGCTGTACACACTGGGAAATGCCAACGAAATTGCGAGGCTGTATCAGGAGGAATGCCTTGTGGCGGATATGTAGTAGCTGTCCGACCGGTCGCAAAGGCCAGGGATCCCTCCTGAACAGGGTAATGGAGACTGAAGTTTTCAGCCTGATTCGAAGAGCCCGAAGCAATGTTAAAATTGAAAGAATATACATCATCTGGTGGGTTTCTGTAGAAGAAGGGTACAGGACTGGACATCCTGGGGCAGTGGACAATAGATCCAAGAAATATAGGCTCTTCGAGGTACAAGCAAAGCTGATGGTCTGTATGGGAGATATGCAAACACCAAGCACTCGTGAGAGAGTCGAATCGTTTAAATAATTTACGCAGAAGGAGTAAAGCTTGAGCCTTGAGCCTTGGGCCTTGGAGTGTAACAACAACTCATTTGATTCTGAGAAATCATGGATTCTAATCGTAAGAGCCACCACGCAAGGACGGAATTCTTGCCAGCTGTCGGTAGGTTACCAGCCCCAGTTAGACTATTCTACGTATTACATGCAACTAGCCTTCTTTTGCGTTCTTCGAGTCCTTCTAGCGCCTTGCCTACTTGTCTGCACCTGTCACTTTCCCCATGAGTAGCCACAAAACGAAACCTCTATGGTGGAGGGAAGCTATCTAGTACATAAGTGGAATAGCTTACCAGCAGCTTGGTAAGTTTCCCGCTGTCTTTGTAGGTTTAGTCCTGGTTAGTTTCTTCATCTTCGTTTCAGAATCCCCCAGAAAACTACGTAGGCGGTCGGATCGTCACATTAACCTGCCCTTTGGGTCGCCGGAAACGTAGGGATTGGCTGACCTTGAGCCTCGCGCAGCAGACAGGGCAAAACAACAGCGTCCTTCGCCCGGATTTTTGCTCTTCGTCGTCCGTTATGCCTTTTGCTTTTTTCCCTTTTCTCTTTCGCTCTTTCGCTCTTTTCAATACTGCCCATCCTAAGTGCCTTGTGAGGTTTATTCATGTGCACGCTCCGGGAATGTCAAATTATCTGGGAATGGATCACTGACGCTGGGTTAAGGAAGTACATAGTCTCTATTTACTCTGGGGAGATTTGGATTGTTTTCCCCCGTCGCCTCCCAGACTAGGTATATCTGGACAATTCAGCCGTACTATTCCGATAAGCTTTGTGGTTTTACTCGCCCACTCGCCCCTCATGGCTTCCCTGAGCAGTTGACAATAACGTTAACCTACACTCACACGAAAGGCAACGCATGCCAAAAGCTCAGTATCCACGCAAGGATCCATCCTCTCTACAACAGAGCATAGTCTAAGCTCTTCCCAGAAACGCGGCAATTTGCCCTACACATCTCCGGGAGATTCGAATACATAGGCAAACGCCCACTGAATGGAATCTCCACCAACTCAAAGCCCCTCCTCCTTCAGCTCCCCAAGATACGACAAGCCAAGGTTCTGTTCTCCAACCATGAACATCCTCGGACACGGAAGCGACAGGGACTTCCCCTTGAGCCTTTCCCTCAGACAACCCTGGCACGGATTCAAGCAGGTAGACTAGCAGCATACAGGTCAGTCCTAAGCGACAGCGAGCGACGGCTCGATGAAGCGTGCAAGAAACTCCTCATCAGAGTGCCCCGGGGGCGTGAAGATCTGCCGACTCAGGAAACAATCTTTCGGCGCGAGGTTCCTCTTGACATTGATTGATGAAACTAATGCGGGCTGGTTCGATATGTACCAGCATCAGTGCCGTGAGTCCGACCATTAGTGGCCGATGAGGCCGAAGTGAGTAGTACCGTAGTGGACCAGCACGGCCTGCGCGGGAGATACCAGGAAGGCGATTGTAGTTTTTGGAGAGATCCGAGAATGAGGAAGTGCTGCACCCTGGGGCGTCGTAGGCGAGGAATGTGTGTTCTGCGAATGCGGGGAGATGAAGAATACCATGCAGACGCTCTTTACAGGAGCCAAAGCTATGCAGAAAGCAGGTGATTTGCTTAGCGCCGGGCCGGTAGGTAATAAATAAGGAGAGCTGGACGTTGTCAACGGTCAGGTTGAGGGCTTCGTATTGTATCATGATGATTCCGCGCGTGTTATTGACGAGGCATGGCCACCTTACTCAATACGAGGAATTTGATGGCCTTCAGTATTTAAATTGATGTTGAATCGGCCAAAATCATCGTCAGCGACGGGAAATCGCTGCACATCGTCCAGAGGTTGCCGTTCCAGAGCGGCGGAATCGGATCGGCATGATTTGACAGTCAGCAATATGAGATGGAGCTCCTTGGCTCCGGGGTGCGTCTCTCGTAAGGATCGCCGGCTGGTGGAACAGAATGTGGAACATACGTTTTCCCCGTCAAATAGCAGGAGGCATCCGACGCTGCCTTTTCAGTGGATGCCGTGGCAAGCTGCCGATCCCCGCCAGTTGCTAGGGCGATCTGGGCCTTGGTAGTCGACAAATTCTTGAAAGAAGTGGCTCTGCTAGGTCGCTGGATGAGACTCCAATGTGCCTTATACGTCTCCAAATTCAGTATATAGGATAGATAGATTTTGAGATGGCCGTAATGCATGTGTCCAACCCAACGTACCCGGCGATAGGGCCAGTGGCAGAGTTGAGGGGGAGACCTTGCCAAAGCCCTCATTTTGTCTCTTCTCTTTCCCACTCTTCCAGACTTTCCATCGATTCTTTAAGCGGTCCATCGCCTCGGTGATTCAATTTGGCTGGAAATTTGGTAAAATGACAAACCAGCGATGGCGGTGGTAGTGGTGGACGCCAGTTGTAATCCAATCAGCGTGGATATCACGGCACTGCAGTTAGAGGCGCGACTGCAGCTCGCTCGATTGGGATCCAATAAGCCTTGCTGAAAAGACACAGGCTCAGCACTGTCAAAAAACAGCAAATGCAAAGCAGTGCGGCTGGGCCGCATGGACTAGCGCTCAGAGTCGCAAACAAATGCTGAAGAACCAATCATAACAGGCCAGGTTACAATAAGGGAAGTGGCAATGTTTAATGTTCTCAGCACATTGTCAAAGAGGCTGAGAATGGTAACTAGTCAGTTCCATACTAACAAAGGACGGGTGCTATCGGGACATCATTAGATGGTAGAGCGGCGCAAAGCAAGTCCCTCTACACTGCTGGGCATGACTGCAGTGCCGATCATGTCTGACTCTGCATATCGACACGCTTCAGTTCTCACAAGGAGGGCGGCAGAAGGTGGTAAGATAGGGATTTGCTTGCCACCATCGAGGCACGGACTGAACTATAAAGGAAGTGACAAGTGGTGATTCACTGACGGCTCTCGGAGCCTTCCCACGACCTCCATCTATGTAGGAAGAGATGAGCGGACCAGTGAATATATGTGGTTTCTATACCCCGCGAGAGTCCCAAGGCAATGCGTCTCAAGCCTACGAAGAAATGTCACTCGCGGATCTAGAGGAGGCTTTGGCTCGTGTGTCCTGTTTTGTTTGTCCTGCCTCAGTCCCATAGCTAGCTGAGCTTGAAGGTGCCCTGTCACTCTACCAGAATGGCTTTTTGTCAGGTGGTTTTCGTATCCTAGTATTGCTCTAGCGACCACTGTAGTTCTTTGAGAAGCTCCTAGACACCCTTTCAATGAGCTTCTTGAAAGATTTCTTACGTTGCCTCAACCAGTTTTTCAAATGGATATCTGCAGGTGCAGAGAGGTTCATATGTCTATTTTACACCTAGACGAGGGTGGAGTCTAGACCCAGTCATATTCCACACAGCAGAATACGCCAAGAATCGATGCTAGTAAGCAGCACAGCCGCAGCACCTTTTTGCTCACGAAACTTGATGGAGCGCAGCGAACAAGAGTGCAGGTAGAAAAGGGTGTGAAGAAAAATAGGGTCCAACGACTTACTGTTGGAACGAAATGTGTCCCCTGTGGCTTAGTTAGCTCCCTCGATTAGTCATCGGTGGACCATCTAACTAACAACAGACAAGCGTCCGCGTCCATCGCTTCACATGTTACCAACCTCACTGGCAAAAAAGCGCTGCCGTACTGAGCATATCATGCTCCATCCCCTTCCTTAACTGGCGCACCTAGTATCAACCGAGCCCCAGGATGAACTTTACTTTCCCAATGACTGTCCTGGACAAGGCAACACGATGGGAGCCCATGGACCGAAGCGGAATTGAACATCTTCACGTCAGGACGACAACCGGCGGCTTGGTCGCCCAGAGCGTGGTGGTCGGGACTCATAACGACGCAAAATACGGGATATTCTACCGAGTAGTTCTGGACGCCAACTGGGCCGTGAGGGAGCTTGAGATAAATGACACGGCAACTGATCAGAAACTGGTTCTGAGTGCAGACGGCAAAGGAAAGTGGTTCGATGCTAATGGAACCCACGTGGCTGGACTTGATGGATGCGTTGATATTGATATTTCCGCAACACCATTTACCAATACACTCCCGATCCGCCGCTTGCAATTGAAACACGGCGCTGCGCAAGTCCTTCGTGTTGTGTATATACCTGTTCCAGCTCTTAAACCAGTCGCGGTGGAGCAACGATATACATGTCTCCAGCCGAACCGATTGTATCGCTACGAGGGCTTGACTTCGGGATTTATGGCGGAGCTTAGCACAGACGAGGATGGTTTTGTTGTCGATTACCCTGGACTGTTTAGGCGCTTATCGTAAGGAACAGCCGAAGTCAAATACATACCAACGCCCGGAATTGGTACTGGCCAACAAGGCCTGATAGACTACCGAGGGCAGAGGATAAGCGCGGCTTCAGAATCACTTCCCATTTGTCATGACTAGCATGTGGTACTTTAGGCAGGAACGTCTTCTGTAGTCACTACTGTTAATACCCAATCAGTTATATCACTGCGACCACGTTCCTGTCATGGTTGTTATAAATCCGAGTCCCTACTGTAGAGCAAGGCGAATGGATGCCTGACCGAACGTATTCTGTCCCACATTCAAAGCTCAAAACTTTGCACGGCGGCTTATCCCCGTCATCGAAGACTGGCTCCGGAATAGAATTCAGGATCCAGAGGATGTGGACCTAGTCGATAGAGATAAAGATGTATAGATCGTCGGGATTCTAGACTGAGCAATAGCCACGATCAGTCACTTCTATTGGCCAGCAACCGCATTTCCAGAAACCAGCTATGAGTTTGTCAGGTTCTCGCTTTTTAGAGAATAATCTCCGTCAACATCCTGCGCTTTCTCGGTGATAGCTGGTTATATATTCTGCAGTTGGCGCCTTGAACATCATGTTATTAAGGTAAATCAAGAAGTTAGGTGTTCGTCTTGATCCTCAATGGCCACATGGACTGGCGGCCACTGCCACTTGTGGTGTGCTTCAAAAGACTCTAATATTGGAGAAGAGCCTGGAGCCTGTTAGCTTTCCTTTGGGATTTGCTGACTACATGTAAAATAGCTAGGTATACTAGAGAATACCCAAGGAGTGTAAAAGTACCGGACAGGCACTGAGGGGTAATGTGCTATGAAGGGAATAAACATTCAGATTTTCAGTGCTCAGAAAAAAAAAAAAAGGAAAGAAAGAAAATTTGAACCAGTAGGTTATTTTCCATTATAAAGTTGATTCCCTAGGGCAATGCAAGATCCTGCTCTAATGAAGGACATGGGAGACGGGCTTCATATATCTTGTAGTTCTCACACTTATTGCTATGATCCTATTTACACATCATGTATTCGTGGATAACGGTGTCTTGATCTGATTTTTCGCTCACGAGGAGGGGTTGGCGGAATCCTTTCATGTATAATATTGGCTATGTGCGCATGTCCATGGAAAGTTGCCCTTGTACAAGGCGTATGGCGTGCCTGGTAATCATGGGGGTTTGGAGCATAACCTTTATCAAGGATCACCTTAACGATCGCTTCATGTCCTTTACTCGCAGCATTAAAAAGTGGTGTATAACCACGCTGATTCCTGACCTCGGTGTTGATGTTCTCCACAGCCAGAAGGAGATTAACAACGGAAAGGTTTCCCTTGCTAGCTGCGTAATACAGTGGTGCCAAGCCGATGATGTATCTCTGAAGGTTGGGATCCACGCCAGGAGTTGAGAGCAGCAGGTGAATAAGATGTATATTCCCAGCCTCAATAGCATGATAAAGTCCTGTTTTACCTAGCAGGTCCCTTGGGTTAAGATCAACTCCCGCTCTAATCAATCGCTCAACAATCTTTCTATGCCCATTGATGACTGCGTGTGCAAATGGTGTTCGGCCGTAGAATTCTGTGATTTAGACAGGGCATATGCTTCGTCAGGTAGATCCAGCTGAATCCATGGTTGTTTAAGCACGAGATTCACCATATCTTCATCTCCCTGCGTGCAAGCCCAGAATAGGGGCGTACGACCATAGACATCCTGACAATTCGGGTCTATGCCACAATATTCAAGCAGCCACTGAGCAATTGATAATTGGCGCTGTTTAGCAGGTAAGAGTAGAGGAGTTTCTCCAGCAGAATTTCTTGTGCAAATTGCAGCAGCACCACCAACCCGAAGGGCCTTTTTGCAACCCCTTGGTGTCCATTTTCCGCTGCCCAGAGCAGAGCCGACGAGCCTGAAGACTGGAAATTGCGATGATAGAGGTATGGATTGAGGACTGTGTAAAGAATTTTATTGACTTGGGACAGACTGCTGATGTCTTTTTCGCAGTCCAGGAAACTACCTATAGCTAGAATAATTTCATTTGGAACGTGGGGTAATTTCATTGTGTGCCCTGAAGTTGTGAAGCGGGTTGGCAGAGAAATAGAAGTTTGGTCTTTCTGTTGCAGACCGATTTCTTTGAGGTGAGGAAGCATAGAGGAAGTCTGGTATTAGGGGTTACGCGGCGGAGTCTCGTACGTGGCATAAATAACAGTAAGCGAGCCGCCATACAAGATTAGCCAGAGCCGAAATTGAAGCTATTTTCAACCCCTAAAACATAATTATATTACTAAATAGTTATTCTTGCGCTGCGGACATTGCAGTTACTTATAGCCTTGAATATGGCAGTCTCTGCAGTGTGAGGGTAACCATTAAGGGTGTTGTTCTGCATCTACTCAACACCAAAGCAAACACTGCTGATTTTAGAGCAGTTTTCGACACGATCAACACCTTCTTTTCCTATAAGGTTTTCCTATCTATCCATATTAAATACTGTAAGTACACCCAAGGCCCTTTGAAGCTTCGGTGGTGATCGCGTGCATGCCCCGCCATCAACTTTAGCAAAATGCTATTGCCATAGCATTTAATTATACATGAAATCTGCTTGGTGCTGATTTACAGATCCTTTGGCTATGCAGAATTCTCACAATAGCGCCGTATTATTCCTTCTTCCTTGCCGCAATCAGCCGTCTCAAGGCTTCCTGCGTGTTCTCCAGCGACTCGAGATGTTGAAGCCTTTCCTTTCTTCTTGCTACACGAGCCAATTCCTCCTCTAGATCCGCGAGTGACATTTCTTCATAGGCATGAGACGGATTGCCTTCTTGGGACTCTCGCGGGGTATTGAACCCACATATATTCGCAGGTCCGCTCATCTCTTCCTGCATAGACGAAGGTCGTGGAAAAGCTCCGACAGTCGTCAGTGAATCACCACTTGTCACTTCCTTTTGCTGTCCTTGGTCCTTTTCGGGAGTGGTCAGGTTCGCATCTAGCTCGAAAATGGTTGTCTTAGACTTTGCGTCAGTTTCCGAATTCTGCTGGCCATCTAACTCATTGATAGCGTTCCCATCTTTCTCGAAAGGTAAGTTATTGACTGCGGGTGAAGTTGGCGATATAGTTGTCGGCAGTTGGGTTTCATCATGTCCCCCGCCGTCTCCCCCGTTCTTCTTTTTCCGCCGTATGTACCATAGCAGGATCGAAGCTATGCAAATCACTGCCAAGGGTATCGCTACCCCAATCCCCGCTTTTGCTCCCGTTGAGAGACCGGTCGATTGGAGGCTCGGATCCACAGGTTCAGGTGTTGCGGTTGGCAAATATGTACTAACACTGGAGATCTGGCTCGTGGAGAAGCCCGTCGCTGTTTTGGTTACTAGAACTGTTTGTATGGCGCTGACCCAGGAAGCTGTAATTGTCATCGTGGAGGTTAAAACCTCTGCATCTGAAGTCGACGCATGAATCCTAGTTGCAGTGCTATACACTGTGACGACGCTCACCCGCCCACCAGTCGCCCCCGACTCCTGAGCGAAAGCCCTTGCTTCAACAGGTTGCCTTCTATGTAATTCACTGTATTGGCTCATGTAGTCCGGAAGTGCCGGCTGGACCCCCACTAGTTCGCAGAAATCAAGCAATCGTCCCGGCGTCCCTAGCTCATATTGCTAAGACAACCATGTCAACGCTTAATTTTAGTGATATAACTTACATCGCTGATCAGGATTGATAGGACAATGGTCATAGCAGGATCTGAATTTCACATCCTGACTGATCACCTCGAGCCTGGTACAGATGCAAGCAAAGTCGGTGTGAGCACAATTATAATCCAGCACCAGTTCGTAGATGCAATTCAGCTGGAGAGGAAAACTGTTTAGTATTTAAACCCAAATGAGACGGCTGTAACACTGACCGAGCAGTGTGGTATATCTTCTTGGTAGCGAGTGAGCAGTTTCCAACGTTCTGTGACGCTGTCAACATTATCACCCTCTCCCTGAGGCACATGTTCCTTCTGTGGTGATGATCCAAGAATGGCTTTTAGTCTCCGCCATAAATTCACAGACTCATCTGCGTCGACGTCCAATCCGGCGACCATAGTGGGCTGCGTTCTTATGCACACCGGGATGCTCTCTATTTGAGCACGTCGCAGTGCGCAGGACAGATCCGAAAAGAAACAAAAACTACACTCAGATTAACTGGGGGGAAAAGGGGGTGGATTCACCCTTCTCCCTAAACTTATCTTGACACTGAGATCCTTGTCCATTAGTCCACTGTGTACACTGGACACAACAGAGGCTAACAAGTTCACTCACATCAAGAGTGCGTTAGTAGATCACACTGAAGTTTGATTGGTGCAAGCTGGGGTGATGGGAGGAAACCAAGCAAGCTAGTATAAAATCAGGAATAGCTAGTCTCATTAATCTTGCCTGGTCTTGGTTAGGGTCCTGCGCCGCAATTAAGAGGTATGTGAGACATGTGATGGGTGCAACAGTGGTAGTCAGCAGTCTCTCATCACAAACACCAGAACTGTTGTAATTGAAAGCTTGGCGTGTGAGCAGCTCCTCTCATCATGCTAATTTATGCTAATTTAAAAAAGAAGCAGGTCAAAGTTGACATTCTATTGAGGTCACGCAACGCGAACTAAAAGAGGGGTACTAGGTACTTCCGGAAGTCCAGTAGCCGACAACAAAAATATTTACAGTCAATGTTCCATGGACGGACGCCTTAAGGCCTAGGCTGAAAACATTTAATCATTTATTTGGCATTGATAAGCCTCATATAATGCCCGTTCATAGTGAAATGGCAAACCGCTGTTATTTCCATTCAGGGGTTTAATAATTCACTCATTTTGCCTAGAATCCATAAAATTGGAATATTCTTTTCTTCACTCTCTCTTCCTCGGTATCAACAACAGTCTCTCTGAGAATCAGCCCAAATCCAATGCCAGCAGCCTGAAGATTACAGACGCAACTATTAATCTAAAAGATATACTAGTATACTTAGTAGCTATATTAGGTTTGAAATACAGCTTTCTACTAATCCATGCGATACACCCGACCTCCCTTGACCAACCCTGACTTATCCGCGAAATCTAATACCGTCCCAATAATGATCTAGTTTCGACCATGGTCAAAGAAGACGAACACAGTATCACAGTAGCCAGGCAGTCGGCACTAAATCAGAACATGGAGAGGCTTGATCATTACTGTTCGCGACACCGAATGGGCTCTATTGCAAGAACCTCTCAGCGAAGGAACTGCAAGGCCAAGAAGAGCTTGCTGGCCACAGCTTGACATCACCTGGTTGTTAGACAGGCGAGTAGCTAGACAGACGCTGTAAGTCGATGAATACCCAGGCTGCTACCATGATATCGATTGAATTAGACGGATGGCACGCACTATGCCCAGTTTAATAACCCATTACATGCAATGCAGACATTACCTTTAGCGATCTTATACGTCACAGCAGCAGGACTAGTAGGTTCTGATCTGACCTTTATCCATGATTTGATAACTCAATGCGAGCCCGCCGATGCAGAGCTCGGGCATAATATCCCAGGACAAGCTTAGGCTTTGGTCTCTGGACGCTGACTGCTACCCTTGCTTTATATTAATATTTGTCTGGTTGTAAAGAGCCATGGGCATAATGAATATAGTATATTCAATTTCCAGAGAAATTCCCTACTACACTCACTACAAGCTTCCCTTCAGTATCAGACGCGAAGGCATCTCCTCACCTTTATAATAAACCTACTGCTTAAAATACTGGTCCACGTAAATAGCATTATAACTTATTAACTATAACTCTGTAACCTCAGCGCACACTTTAGTAGCAGAGGCTTCTGAGTTATAGTCCATCTACACCACTCCCATCATTAAGGGTAGCCTAAGGTTGATAGGATTGCTCTGCATCCCAATAGAGATGTAAATTTAGGTTACCATACAAGAAGGCTGTCCAGACACAGACCCCTTAAGGTTTTGAAGCATGGTCACTACCGCGCAACAGATGATGGGCAGGTTGGCACAGAAGATTCCGCCTAGTGGCTCCCAGGCGGAGAGGATTCCCAAGGACACCCCAGCCCCTGTATCATTAGGCAGGCAAAGGGTTATAGAGAGATGACACTAGGCAGGCTTATATATAAAGTCGGGTGAGCCCTGCAAGACTATAATAGAAAGATAGGCAGCACTAATAGCACACATCCTGCAATGAGTAAGCTTATTTCTTATATACTTAAGGGGCAGTGGAAGTACTAACACTAATCTAACAGAGAAGGAAAACTGAGAGTAATCTTCTAATTATAAGACATCTGGAGCTTGCAAATAATAGGTAAAGGCTAGGAAAATATCCAGACATTAGTAACCAGGTTAGTAATGTTAGTGAAGCAGGTGAATTCCATGAGGTTAAGGTATTATCCAGGCATATCTAAGTCCTAGAATCATAAGATGGACCCACATTACTGGCCCAGGAGTATTTCCATCATTATTAGCTATAGAATCATAAAGACCGCTGTGGTGAGGACCATAATATGAAACTTAAAGGTTATAATGATGTAATAGTACAGCACTAATATAGCAAGTTTAGTACTGGCAATAGCTGCATTATAGAAGCGAGTAAAGATGTAGTTACCCTAGTTACGTTAATTATATTACTCTGTAACTAGAATAGGTAGATCTACCATCATGAATATTTCTATCTGCTCATTTAAAAGGGCTGTTTTATAATATCCAAATCCATAGGGCAGTCCTCTAAACAGATATTTTAATTAACAGTCGGCAACTCATCTCTATTAGAAGTTGAACTTTAAGTACTATAGATTAGTCCACTGATGTACACTGCGGCTCCAATAAACTATGATCATAATGGCGAGGAACTGTTAGATTTCAATGTTTGTCACAGACATGTAGTAGGGACTTACCATGGCCCATACCATCAGATAGTTGGCTGAACTGAGTCCTACATTGCCTAGGCCTCATATTTTAACCCAAATACAGAGTCCAGTCGTCAACAGCTCGAGAGGGATGGGGATGAAATAGGCGACTGTGACCTCAGTAACTCTTGACTGCACTAGAAACGCCGCATCATGTGCGGCTCTCTACAAGAGATGCATCGCATCCAAGAACTACATGTCCGACAATCAATTGGTAGGGATGGGAGAGGGGGAAACAAGGAAAATAAAACACAACAGAGGCGTGAGGGCGTCTCACCATGATAAAGCATTTCGATCTCTCAATCTATGTTAAGTTTGTCAAGGTCAGTAGTCTAGACCTCCAAGACAGATAACGACAATATATACTGAAATTACATAGGCGTTTATTTTGAGTCGGGCGTATTTCATGTGTATTTCTGTAAATTATTAGCATTTGGGTTCTTAGTGGGTTCGGGTAACCTATTGGTGCCTACAAAAAGCAATAGATTGACGTTAAGTTAGTACGTACACTTTCGGGAGAACGTTACAGGCTTGCACCCACTTCTTATACACAATCATTCAGTGTGCAGATTCCCAGTTGGGATACTTTTTCCTTCAAGCGATCCCAAGTAAAACCAGTGGCAGCAGCTAATCATACACTGTCTGGCTCACCTCGTGGCTGAATTGAGCCCTTTGGCCGCGAGCTAGAAATTGGCTCTGCTCTATGCATGCTGGGACCTAATGAGGACTCCTGAGATTGGTGAGACAATATGGAAGTGACTCTGGGTGAAAACTACACTGAATAATTAGGGTGTTTCAGGCGTCTCTATTTCCTAGTGTTAAGTAGCCCTGGGGTACGGGCAGTAGATAAAATTAGAGCGCGACAGTGGTTCCACCAAGCTTCACCACATCAGAGAGATCAACTCTTCGTCGATCACCCCTTTTGCAACCACAGGCAGCAGTGCTAGAATATACTAAGTTCAATTCACCCCGTGCATTCAACTTTAGCTCCTATATCCAAGCAAACCTACTACAGCAAATTCTCCGAGAATCACTCACTCCAGTTCTGCACACTTTCCTTTTCGCCTGCAAATACGCCTCCTGACTCTGCTTCACCATCTTCCTTCTCGCCACAGCCTCCTCCTCACTCTATTTTGTCGGCAGGATGCCCGGCGCCGGATGAAATAGCTCTTCTCGACTTGTAACCTTTGTACCGTCCACATCACGAAAGTCCTCTTTTTTGATTGGCCCCGGAGGTAAACAAGCCAGAGCATTCTTGATCTGCTCGGGGTTGAGGCCACGCGCGTCGAGGACCTCGTAGTCGGCTGAGAGGGTACGTAGGACGCCGTCCTTGCCGAGGTGGGTGATTCCCCTGCCGGAGGGATCGCGCTTCATGTCTTTAACGAAGTCGGGGAGGATCTGGGTCTTCAGTTAGCTCTATACACCGGATACTAGGCTTGCCGTGATAGAGACTGCTGCATCTCTGAAATTGTTGCTTACCTTGCAGCTCATGTTGGCGTTTAGCACAGTATCAGTATCGATAGCTTTGGTGACTTGTGTATCTCACGGGCATCGATGTCATTAATATACTTCTCAATAACTCTCGCCAAGCGAGAGGGCGAGGCTGTTCACTGCTTCCTGAGGCCTGTAGTTTAGTTGGGTGGCGATCTTGGCCTAAACGGGTTCACACCGACTAACCAACTAGGTAGTCAAGCACTAAGTCTGCCTGTAATAAGGCTTTTTCTGGGATCAAGCACAGCCTCGTGGGTCCACTGGGTACAGCCATCTGCGGGTACACCGTGGCCTAACTAGCAAAGCGCTTAGCCCCGGCGTCATGAAGTTGGGCTTGGCCCTTTTCCCGTTGATGCAATCGTGGTAATGTGATCGCCTTATGACTCACTGACTGGGCAGAGATGACTCTTTATTCAGAAGTATTGACAAGGTAATATGCACATAGACAACTGGAAGCAGGATTTGATGACAGCACAAAATCTACAAAAATGCAAACATCTTAATCTCAATGCTCTGCCGAGGCTCATACTCTATGGTGGAAGGGAGCTCGAAAGCGCTATGCGCCAGCGTACATCCGCCCTCCTCCAACCGGGAGCTATCAAACTGCGTAAACACCAGCGGCTCATCGCGCTGCTGCTTGCTGAGATAGTACCAGCGATGATCCTGGCTGTATCGCACCTTGCTCAGCTCGTTCCAGCCCTGCGGAAGGACCAGTCGATAGGGCACGATATCATGCTGTGGGCTGGTAGACTGCCAGTCACAGACAGCGAGCGGATCCCGATGAACGGTCTTCAACGGCCGCCAGACATTGACGATCATGACTCGACCGCTGAACAGCTGCTTGACGCGCTCCGGGTCGGAGATCTCATTCTCAAGATGCCGAAGCGCACCCGCAACGGTAAAGTCCGTGTGGACGCTGTGCGCTGGGGCGCGATTATCGGCTAGTTTTGCTTCGTCGGAGGAGAAGCAGCGGATGCGGTGGGTGAAAGTCATTGTTTCTTTGGCGCCGGTTCTGTTTCGTTCGTGTTAGAGGGTGCCGGCATTGTGGTGGAAGGGTACATACATTTTGCGGACGAGCTCCTCTGACTTGGGGATAAGGGTGTCGATGACCTTTTGCTCGTCGGTCCAGTCGTCGAGCTCCGGAACCTCGTCGTGAAAGTATTGGAATCCGTGCTTTTCTAGCGTGTACTGGTCCTCGGTTCCGCGGATGTCGTGGATGAGGACTGGATGCCTCGCTTCTTGCTTTTCTACCTCTGCGAATTTCTGTTTTCCGTCGGGTGTGTTGAAATCGATGATGATCGGGTCGTCGCTGCCCTCCCAGTAGTTGAGCTCTGTTTCTATGCCTTGCTTCTCAGGGGGAGAAATGGCAGTTGCAGTGGTCGCTATCATTGTCTACAGCACGACGAGGATTAAATGGAATGATGAATAGATGTATCAATTTTGTAGTAGTCAATGCACTGAGATACCTTTCGGGAACGTCTAACTGCATATTTATACATCTTGACTATAGCAAACGCGAACTAAAGAAGCAAAGGAGTTGATCGATAGCGAACCCGAACACGAACCCGAACCCGAGGGTCGATCGTCCCAAGACCATTACCCCATTGGGAAATGGTTCCGAATACGACAACTCCGCGAGGGGAACCACAATGAGCACTGGCAGCTTGACTAGTCAAATCCAAGCTTGAACCCACCCCAGTTCAGCCTTGAGAAGGTCCTCAAAGGATCATAGGCAGCCCGGACTGCCTTCATCCGCTGCACATTGGCTTCAGGAAACGCAGCAAACGGATCCTGCCACTCGCCCGCATCGCCCATATAGATGAACTCGGAGCTAATGCCTTTCTTCCTGTTAATGGCGTGCAGAGACTCGGCGAGTCGACGCGACCAGGTTTGCACGCGGATGTCGTCAGACGCAAGATCCCAGCCCGTGCTGAATTGCCACACTGCACCATACATTAGTGATTGCCATAGCAAGGAAATCAGGGCCGTACATATCATGGGCTGGTCGTCCAGGCCCCACACATTCCCGATTCCATTAGTCTTGGCTACGCGCGCTGCCCCTGCTGGAGAGAGGTTCATGATAAAGGTCGGGTAGAGGCCTTGCACGTCGGATATCTCATCGACCGCTCTCTTCCACGCTTGATAGATGGAGTAGAGGGTCTCGGCGTCGGGCTGTACGGTGTGGTGAGAGAACATGACACTATCGTCGTCAGCATTAATATCAAAATCCAAAGGAACGCTTCCTACCGGAACATCTGATTTGGGGTGATGAGCCCCGCAGCAAACTGTTTCCCAGTCGTCACATTGTGTATTTTTGAAGTACCAGTCCCAGGGATAGCAGTGAAATTGGCGAACTGAGACGGAGGCCTGCTAACGCCTTCTTGCACCCCAATCAGCGAAGCAGAAGACACCTTCGTCGTGGCATTGTAATTGATCGTGAAGACGCCGCCTGCCGCGATGGGATTCGGCTCATCGAGCCTGACCAGATCACATACAGCGGTGATATAATCATAGATGGCGGACTCGTTGAAACTCTGGATTGTGGTACTGATCTTCGGAATCGCAAACGTCTTCAGCGTGAACTTGGTCACGATTCCAAAGTTATTCGCGCCGCCTTTCAACGCCCAGAATAAATCCGGGTGCGAGGTCGACGAGGCAACCACCTGCGTCCCGTTCCCCAGCACCACCTCGTACCGGACGACGTTGTCCATGGCGAATCCATACTTATTGATAAAGTAATGCACGCCGCCGATCAGTGTGAGGCCAGGTACGCCGATGGTCTTGAGACGACCGCCGATAGCGATGCGTCCGTAGGGGTCGAGGGCAGAGTAGACGTCGTACCAGGTCATGCCTGGTCCGACGTCGATGGTCTCATTGTGGACGGTGAATTGGTCCATTCCGGACAGGGCGATAAGGACGCCGTTGTCGATATTGTTGGCTCCGGGAAACTATCCATGTCAGTGAGTGATTTACTTGGTAGAGATAGGGATCGTACATTCATATGTCCACCCCCGCGGACGGCAAAGTGCGCATCACAGTGGGTGAGGATCTTCACGGCGTTCGCAACTTCAATAGCGGTAGTTGGGAGGAAGATACAGGATGGGTGAAGGTCATCCCGGATGTCCCAGTAGCTGGTAGCCTCGACTGTGTAGTTTGCCGATGACGGAAAGAGGAGCTTGTCCGGGTAGGACGACCCAAGCTGTGCACAGGCACATGGAGTTCCTGCCACGGATACATTCCAATTAGCCACCACCAGACCAGCCAGATAAAGAGTGAGTAGCTGTAGAGAAGTCATTTTGAGAGAACCTCGCTAGGTGATTGTGTTTTTGATCAAGCTCCAGAAATCTAACGCCTTTTATAGGCACAGTAGCACCGCGTGAGAGCCGTAAGGTTGAAGGCAAGTCATGACTGCGTTTCTCAACTATTGAAACAATGACTCTAAAGATCAGCGATGCTCAGTTTGTGCCATGCACTTGGTCCTGATACTAGATGCCTATACCAAATAACCTTCATCTCGGGTTCGGGTTCGGGTTCGGGTTCGGATTGTTTCACAACGACGATCTTCGTTAGAAGGATCTGCCCTAACTCCAACGTACCCAGCCACAGAACTTAAAATAACTCTATTCATAGCTTTATTACCCTGATAAAGTTCCCAGGCCGCAGTATTACCGCAGATTCACTGCCTGTAGGAGCCACTCTGAATGAGATCGGATCGGAAAGCAGGACACCCGCTTCTCTCGTTGAATATCCTCACGCGATTGACTGGTACGGCAATAAGGTTGCCTAGAGATTGATACCTGTTAGCCTATCGGAATTTAACGGCGGAATGTGGCTATGAATTGAGTTTTGATACTCCAAGTACCAAGGCTTTATGCACTTTTATGTTGGAATGCCATCGTACCCGAGTACGAACGCGAGATCAAATCGCTCGCTGTATACTGCACATAACTGATAGGAAACTTCTATATAAACATCGCGTAGCTCAATGCAATGTTCTTCATCCTCCCAGCACAACCTCAGATCTCATATTTCCCAAACAGACAAGATGTCAACCAACAACGGCTTCGTCCTCTATCACTATGAACCCTCTCTGCTAGCAGCAATTGTCTTTTCAGTCTTGTTCAACATCACTACACTGGCACATCTGTACCAGCGTGTCAAATTCGGATCGAAGTATATGAACCCATTCATCGTGGGTGGCTTGTGTAAGTACCGCAGCAATTCATCCCATACCCCGGCTGATCCCCGCGCAGTCCAAGTCATCGGCTACGGATGCCGAGCAGCATCGCACTTCTTTGAGAACTCCACTACGCTCTATGCAATCCAGTCACTTCTGGTCTTGCTGGCACCAACGCTATACGCAGCATCAATCTACATGATCCTCGGCCGGACGATCCAATTCCTCCACGCAGAGCGACTGAGTCCGGTCCCTGTAAGATGGATGACCAAGACGTTTGTTGCAGGGGATATCCTCTCGTTTATCCTGCAGGGAGCTGGTTAGTACCATCCCTTACCGTTTCCTAAAAGCGATCTGACAGCCACAGGCGGGGGAGTCATGTCCGCCGGCTCTGCAAACTCCCAAGACATCGGCACGTATATCATCGTCGCCGGTCTTGGTGTTCAGCTTCTCTTCTTTGGTGTGTTTGTCATCGTCGCTTTTCTCTTCCACTTTCGATTCTCCAGCTCGGAGAATGCAGGTTCTGCTGCGAGCACCTCTGGGAAAGTGCCTTGGGCGAGGAGCTGGAAGGGTCTGCTCTGGGTGCTGTACCTGGTCAGCGGGCTCATTCTGATCAGGAGTACGTTTCGGATGGTAGAGTTTGCGCAGGGATTCAATGGATATCTGATCAGCCATGAAATCTTCATGTATGTTCTTGACACGGCGCTGATGTTTGTTTTGATGGTTGTGATGAATGTGGTTCATCCTTCTAGTGTTCTGGGTAGGGCGAAAGGTGAGGTGGTGGAATGCGAGACGCTAGAGGCGTAAGGTAAAAACGCGAAGCGCGAGTTTAGATGGATTGGACTGTGCTTTTGATATATTTCTGCTTTATAATGATGTTTATGTGATATTGGGCTTGTATTTCGGAGTGTCACACCAAATATATGAAGTTTCCATCTCTACTAAGACTGAACGTGAACAGTCGGAAGAAACTAAGGTCTACGATGCTAGGACTCAAACAGGGTAGTACTGCATGAACAAACAGTGGATATCTATCAAGGCCGCCACCCCAGTTGTTCCATCGGCCACTGGATCCAAGTGCGATGCTCCTGGTCCAGCAGCCCATGGATCCGAGAAAGTAAATGCACACTCCACCCCTCCAGCCACCACATCCACTCCAATCGCCGGAGCAAGGGACAGAAGTACCCGAATATCACCAGTGCGACATGTTGCTGCTCTCGGAGGAGAGTAAGAAACTCTTCTGACACCCGCAGCAACCAGACAAAGACATCCCCCGTCTCCGAGGGCCCGGTATCCGACCAGAGCGCAAACGAAACCCTCAATTCCTGTATTGCCCCCAGGTAAATTTGTAATTCCCGCTGGTCTTTGACCTCTTCTCGGACCAACTCCTCCAAATCGTTCATGAAGGGTTGCCCCTGGGTCGAGAGGGTGTCGCGGTACTCAGATCGGCGCTGCCGAATACTCAGCAACGCTGCCAATGGTCCCGATCGGAGTTCCTCCTGCGCATATTCGACTATGGTCCCCGCTCCGCGGAAGAGGACCAGCCACTCGGAGATTCGGCCCTGCTGGAAGAGAAGCAGGTCGTCGAGTTTGCGGGGCTGGGCGCAGGAGAAAAAGCTAGTGAGAACGGAGAACAGGAAGACCGCTGAGCTATTCTCGTTCATTAGTTGTGTCATGTTCGAGGTCACGAATTTTAGTGCCACATTGTGATGACGCTCTGCCTGAGACACGTAGAATTGCCGTTGTGCCGGTCGAAGGTAAGCCAGGTGGAGGGCGGAGATGGCTAGCATCGCGCGGAGTGTGTAGTGGGCGCCAAACCCGACCTGCGGTGCATCGATTCGCCAAAAAGTTTGCAGTGCTGGATGGCGGGAGAAGGTGTAGGCAGTGGAGGTAGAGAAATGATGCAAAAGCTCCAGATCGTGCACTGCTAGGTCTGAAGATGCACAGCTGGCGTGGGTTGTGGCCTGCGGAGATGCCTTTTCACTCGTTTGAGATTGTGCAGGACTTCCTCCGCTTGGGAGGGAATATATGCAGTCTACTGCGTGTTTGCTGCAATTTCTACAGGTCGGCTTGACCTCATCACACTATATGCTGAATTAGTCGAGTACTATGATGGATTTTGGATTATGATACTTTGATTTTCCTGGCCTTGCATTGCTGGCAACCATGCCGTGATTTACGGTGTGTCCGACGACCTCTCACAGGTAATGTACTTGTCATGTTGCCAATACTCTGTGGTTATAATATAGATGAAATCACTGGACAAGGACAAGGGATAAAGTGATAAAGTTCAGCTGAGAGAATGAGAGCCTATCCGTGGCAGGCCGGAGAGCGGTGTCAAGCAGCAGTATCCAGCCACGTGGTCAGTGAACCCTAACCCCAATCCCATACTGTCGTTGTCTCATCGCAAGATATTGGGATAAAATCGGCCTTGAATGCATTATTATGGTAGAGCTCAGTATTTTTGTTCTCATGATACTATTGAACGTATGAATTTGATCTGGTATTCGTATCGTTGGTCAATGTGGAACAGAGAGGATATATGTATCCTGAGATAAATATATTCCAGTTAGTCTATCAATATCTAGCTCGGTATTAGTGATGAATAAAGAGCAGTCATGAAGCCCAGCCGAGTGCTGTAAACAGAACCTTTTTATGACGGAGTAGTGTAAAGACACTGAGAGCAATGGATCATTGCCAGTTTTCACCAACCTTCCACCACCATCCACTAGCCCAACTGAACAGCCTAATACTTCCCCCTCTCTCCGTCCCTCCACTTCAACATCCTCAGCCAGATGAAAGCGGCTGCTCCGGCGGTAACCATAACCGCACTGAACAGCTCCGCCTTCCAAAACACCCCCCGCTCCAAGTCCAACAGCGCGCCAGCAATGGGATTGCCAATCAACAGCCCCAACCCGGCAAACGTAAAGCACATGCCCATCCGCGTGCCCACAATACTCATATTCGGACTCAGCCGGGCCACAATCGTCGGCGGCAACGAGACAATCGCCCCAGAGGCAAACCCATACAGACACGCAAACACGATCGTCCCCGCAATGTTCTTGATTCCCATCCAGGCGTACGCGAGGATGGCGGCACTCAGAGCCATGGGGATGATGGTGTTGAGGGAGCCGAACCGGTCTGCCACCAGGCCTGGGGTAATACGACCAAAGACGGACGTGGCATTGAGGATGGCGATGATGTAGAAAGCTAGGTCGTCGGTTGAGTGGACGACAGAGGACATGTAGGAGGGAAGGTAGAAGAAGGGGAAGTAGAGGCCGACGAAGGCGCAGAACAGACCGAAGCTGAAGATCAGGAAGGAGGCTTCTTTGAAGGCGGAAAGGTCAAGGAGGGATCGGGCTTGCTTGGGAGGGGGCAGTCGCATGCGCATCACAGCGAGGGAGATGCACAGTCCGCCGAGGGCGGTGAAGCCAATGATACGGGTGGTCCAGCCGAAGCCGACGGAGTCGATGAGGTTGCGGAAGATGATGGGGTATATCACGGAGCCTACATTGGTCAGTATGTTTGCGTTTAGTGCAAGCAGAGGACGAGACATACCAATGCTTCCTCCCGACGCGGTGATGCCCGTCGCCACGGCCCGCCGCGTGGTAAAATAAGTAGCCACAATGGCGATGCTAGGCAGGAACAGGAATGCACAACCAATTCCGACAGTGACTCCATGAGCCAGAAAGACTTGGTAGTACTGGTCTGACAGGGAAGTCATCATCAAACCGAAAACGACCAGAAATGAGCCCACTGCTATCAGGGTCTTGAGGTACCCCTTGTCGAAGACGGGACCAGCGACGACTCCAACCAGGAACAGGAGAAAGCCCTGGACGGTGCCAATCCAGGAGATGGACGAGGGCGAGTGACCACGCAAAAGATCCGTTTCATAGTAGGTCTGGTACACACCAAACGTGTTGACCACGCCCCTAGCGATCGGCCAGTGAGCACCAAAAAAAAAAAAAACCAACAAGGTATATCTTCATATCTTACCATGAGTTGAAGAAGAGGAAAAAGGCTCCCACAACCTGGAGCCATGCCATCCACCCTCCGTTTGGAGGGGGAGGGGGAGTCTGCGTCTCCTGCGCCTTCTCTACTTGGGTCTCCTCAACAGGCAGTGTGGAGGGAGGAGACGACCCTTCACTGAGGTTATCCGGAGTAGCAGTATCAGTAGCAGTCATGATGAAAGATGAAACTGATTGCTGACTGAGTTGAGAGGATAGCACGTCAGCCTGACGCTGGATAGACTCATTGTCCTTCAAAGAGACAAGGAACCAGCCCTCTATCTATATGGCTTGACAACAAAGTATACACGGTGAGCAGATGTGATACACCAAACCAACTGATTAATAATGCAACAATGTGATCTGCCGGTTAGCCGAGACTACACCTAAAATGGTGCAATAATAGTTCTTTATTGGTATGATTCTATCCATTTCCATGCAGGGATGATGCAGCGCATCTGTCTCCCGCTGGCGCGCCAGATTGGCCGATCATTCCGCCTGGGCGTCGCCTTAGCTCGTATTGGGCTCATCAGATCAGCCACGATGAAACGCAAGACTCGCCCAACTTGGCGCCACGCCGGGCTGGCGTCCAGGGATAAAGATCCTGCGAAATCCTTCGCAACTTTTCCTTCAATCATTCTCTCTCGTGGCTGCACACACACACAGAATGGAGGGCTGGACCGCTAAGCATCCTTCAAGCATCTTCCCAAAATGGGTTAATGTGCATTTCTATTACTCTAACTTTTGACATAATAATGGTCCGGGAAATGACAATACTGCAGAATCTTCTTCACAACGTGCATTAACTCAAAAGAGTAAATGATTTACAGGTGCCGCAACTAACTACTGTTCAAACACCAGAATCTTCTTGCGCTCGCCTACTTCGCCCCTCTCATGGCGCTCCAGCACCTCCTGCAGCTGGCCTTCCAGACCCTGGTCGCCTCGCTTCCACCGGACATACTCCAACGCCGGCGCCTTTAGCGTCCCCTCCATGAATAACCGCGCAAACCATTCCAGTAGTGCCGTCTGATGGAACGACGATCGTCGGCCAAGACAATCGCTGAGCCGAAATGCCTTGAGAGTGATGTTGCGCTGCCAGAGGAACTGCCGCAGGTTGCCCTCGGGGCCTGATGGCGCTACCCCCAGGAAGCCAGCGGTGACGAGAGTGGCTCCCGGGGCCAAAAACGAAGCCATCAGTCGCGCCAGTGCGTCGTCAGACACAAAGTCAATGGCGAGGTTGACGCGCTTGCCCGCGAGCAGCTCCGCGCCGGATACCTTGAGCTCGTCAACGGTCAGGACCAGCGATGCGCCGTGCGTGCGCAGCGACCGTTTGGTGCGCTCAAGTTCCTCGTTGGTACCGCGGTCTCGAATCACACTGATGACATTGACACCCTGCAAGTGCGCCAATTGACTCACAAAATGGCTCACTGTGCCTGCCGCCGCGTTCTGGATGATCCAATCGCCGGGCTCAAGAAGCGAATAGTCCCGCAGCAGAAAGTAGGCCGGTGCCACCCCCATGCGCAGGATACACGCGAGCCGGGGATCCAGTTCCGACGGCACCCGCAGCACGTCGTTCTCGTCAAGCACGGCGTGCGTGCGCCAGGTCCCTCGGCAGTGGGTCCGCAGGAGGACCGTGTCCCCGACGTGGAACTGGGTCACTGCCGATCCCGTCTTGACGATGCGGGCCGCGCCATCTGAGCCCGGAATGGGTCGATGCTCGCCGGCGGCGGCTGCGACGTGGTTCTGTGGTTTGACGGGATATTTTCCGTGCAACACCAGAAAGTCGAGGGGATTGATGGGTGCCGCAAGGAACTCCACCGCCACCTGGTTAGGACCGCAGTCCGCAGGCGTAGGGATGGAAACAAGACGGATGTCTTTGACGGGATCTGCGGAGCCGTACGCAAATACGAGAGATTCAGCCATGATGTAACGGCAGTCAACGAGGGCACTTTAAATTAAAAGTTGATTGGTTGCGACACAATGGGGATGCTTGCAGATGTCCAGTGTTGTATATGGGAGCCATTTATAGCCAGTCGACGGACTCAAATTCTGGTAGAGCCATCATCGTCAAAGCAAAAAATATAATGGAGACACTCGTAGAATGTTTTCGAATCGTCAGCTGCAGTAAGACGAGAATTAGACCGATTTAGGGCGGCGCCACGAATTCGCCTAGAGAACCAAGCATCTTTTGGCGGAAAGAGAAACCGTATTTCCGCTTAGGGGGAGCTTGTTGCAACCTCGCATTATGCTAACTGTTAACAACGCGGAGTCGCCGATCTCAACTGCACATTGTCGAGAAGCCAGCACGCCACTCTCTCAGCGGCGCCTTCGATCCTTGTCTGCAGGCAACGCCGATCGAATACGAGGTTGCACTGCAAGCCACCACATGCACAGAACAACAGGGCTAGGCGAGGGTTTTTGCTTGTCAGCCGCCATGATTCTGTTACACATGGTTTTATAGATGACTCTGCAGACGCAGGGGTTGCGCAATTTCTGCAGGCCCCATGCTGCATTCAATTGGTCAGCCCGTGGCCGGATATAGTTCTGCAACTTTCATGACTGCGTTCGGGTCAGGAGCCATCCAGGTCCGATTCGGCATGGAGACGGCGGACTATTTTCTGATAGGGCTTGTGTCACTCAGTCGATCAGGGATCGAGATCCTGCAGAGGCGCAAGGTAACTGCCAGATATCGTGATCGGCCTCATGTTGATTCTCGGAGGCAGCCCGAAATGACGACAGCGATGCAGATCCTTATGAGATTGAGCAGTGCAGTATCACTGGTCTGATTGGATGCCAACTGCAACTTCCTCGTGTTTTACTTCTCCCTGTCTCGCTCTTGGGCCGAGACAGCGAAGACTCTCCTGTCCGGACACCACCACGCGGCATCGAAACGTCTAGTACTCAACGTGATTGATGCATTGGGTAGGGATGTACTTTTTTTACTTCTCGTCACTGACTGGCGGTTCTAGCCGAAGGTGGAGCTTCGTGGCGCTCCTCGTGCTGGCAGCCATGCAGATGAGTGAAGGGCAAGTTTCAGGATCGAAGCTGCAGAGGAAGAATCGTTCGCGCCGATGGGAAAGAGTATACAGGCATGGGCATCATTGTAGGCGTCAATGTTGTATTCGGCCCCCAAGCTGCTGCTGCTGCCAGAGAGGGGGTTGAGAGAAGTTCAAAATGAGATTCACATCGAGCCTTCGCCAGACGTAGACATAA